GAGGAGAAGAGGAGAATGAGGAGGGAGGGATGGAGAGAGGAAAAGAGAATGAGGAGAAGGGGATGAAAAGAGGAAAAGAGAATGAGGAGGGGGATGAAGAGAGGAAAAGAGAATGAGGAGACAGGGATGAAAAGAGGAGAGGAGAATGAGGAGAGGGGGATGAAAAGAGGAGAAGAGAATGAGGAGAGGAGAGGAGAATGAGGAGGGGAGATGAAAAGAGGAGAGGAGAATGAGGAGAGGAGAGGGGAATGAGGAGAGGAAGGAGAATGAGGAGAGAAGAGAAGAATAAGGAGAGGAGAGGAAAGAAAGGTGAAGGAGAGGAGGGAGCTGGCTTTCGGCTCTCAACCATGGCTCCAGCTGTCCTTGCTGTCTTGCTTCTGTACCTAGAGGATCCTCTGAGCTTTTTGCATTCTCTAGCTGGTCTTCTGTCCAATCGATCACCAGACCTTGGAGGAGATTGTGGCTATACCCCTGACCATGAGCACATCACAGGCAGCCAAAAGGCTGTGACCCTCCCCCCCATCCTATCCCCTCTCATTCACCCACCGAGAAAGAAAGCAAGCATATCATCAGCAAGGCTTGATGAAGGAAGAAGAAAAGAGCAGGTGGACCCCATTCCAGATTTCCATTTGACCTCAGACGTTCGAGTCAATTCAAGAAACAGCGTAGAACACTGGTTCTGGAGGCAGAGGACCCCTAGAAAGTTATTTCTTCTCTCTGGGCCTCAGTTTCCTCCTTTGTAAAAGAAAGGCTTGGACTAGATGGTCTCTGAAGTCCCTATACTCTACATCTTAGATGTGACAGTCCCCACCCTCAAAGAGTTTACTCTCTAGTGGAGAAACAGGATACTGCCCCAGATGAGCCAACACGTGAAGAATGCCTCATTGATGCAAGCACAGGCTTTGGAAGGGCCAGAGGGAAGGCTTCCTGGAGGAGAGGGCATTCAAGCTGGACTCTGCAGAAAGGGTGAGGGGAAGCAGAGAATGTGGATGCCATCCCAGGCAGAGTTCTGAGAGCAGAAATTTTGAGCTGGAAGGGAAGGGGTCTTGTAGGCCATCTTGCGTAACCTCCTCATTTTATTTTTTTCCCATTTTATGTTCTTCTTATTCTAAACTGAAGCACCAAAGAAAATGAGCATTTGCATATATAATGCCAAAAAGAAAAATAGGACTGTACATGAAACCGTGGGTCTTTATTATGTACATAAGCCTTTTGAAGTCTGTAAGAAAATCAACACATCACTTTCTCAGCTGCCTTATTTGTCTGTGATTCTTTCTATTCTCTTCTCACTGAGGGAGGGGGTATGGAACCTTAGTCTGAGCTCCCTTCTCCTTCCCACCTCACTTTACAGAAATAGAAAATGCTTGTCTCTTGTCCAAGGTCACTCAGGAAACAGTGTCAGCAAAGTCCCAGAGAAGGAAAGGCACAGAATGTGTACAAGGAGCCAAAAGTGAGTAGTCCAGCTTAGCTGGGTTGTGGAGGGTAAAGAGCAGACTAATATGAGCTCAGGCTGGGAAGGGAGGGGCTGGGTGGGCCTGAACTGTGGAGGGCCTTGGACCCAGGCAGTGGACTCAGGTCTGAGCAGAAGAGTGGTGCGGTCACTCTGATGCCCAAGTGAGATCCTCCTGCCAGCTGAGTGAGGGCTGGGGTAGAAGGAGGGCAGAGTAGAGGATGACAGACGTGTTCTAGTCCAGGTGGCTTGTGAGGAAAGCCTGCACTTGGGTTCTGGCCATGGGCCTGGGGAGGAAAGGAAAAATGCCACAGATGGCCTCCTTGTTCCTCATGACAATCCTAAGAATACCTGAAGACAATCCTCATGCCCACCTCCTCCCCTCACCCCAAATAGTCTTTTCCCTAGCCTATACAATTTCCAGTTCCTTCAATGGATCCTTGGATAGCATGGTTTAAAGTTATCTCACCATCCTGGGAACCCTCCTCTGGGCAACCTTCCTAAAACCTGAGCTGAAAACCCTGGATTGCACGCAGTCCCCCAGAGATGGTCTTACCAGGGGAGCAGGCAACAAGATTACCACCTGCCTCCTTCTAGACACTGCAGGAGGCTTTAGGAAGTCATGACAAAGCCCCTAGGATGAGGAATCAGATAGGATGAGGAATCAGAAGGCACACCTCTGAATCAGTTCAGCCATTTGACCACTTCTAGGGTCTTGAGAAATTCACCTTCCTCTGGGTCTCAATTGAATTCTGAGGCTTGTAAGAGCCAGGACAGGCTACAGCTTCTGGGTGGCTGATGTTCTGGGTGGGGGGGAGGGCTTTGTATGTCTTCAGAAGGATGATAAACATGGCTGCAATGATAAGAATGAAAAGAACATGGATTGCAGAGGTGGGGGGCTCTGGATGTGGACTATAGCATGTTCCACAGTCACAGTTCATGGCTCTGCTGTTCTGTTCTGTTCTTTGTTCTAAAGGGAGGGGATGGGGTTAGAGTTCACAAATGCAAAACTCATTAAAAAAGAAATGAGGCAAAAACATTCAAAGGAAGTCAGATGCTAAGTGAGTGTGATAATCAATCTTGGTGTAGGTAATGAGGATGAAAATAATGAAATTTTTCTCCCTCCTCTGGGCAAAGAGGAAGGGGATGATGGGACAGACACTGTCTCATGGAACTGCTGGTTTTGGTGACATGGGGGATTCTTTGGGGATGGGAGGGGTGGATATATTCTGAAAAGCCTGGGATGTAAGAACAAAAAGCATCCATCAATCTTATTTTTTAAATTGATAACAATTTTAAAAATAAAAGCCATACCAAGAATGGCAGTGAAAGCTCCACACCTTGGCCTCAGCTGAAGGGAGGGGAGGGGCGGGGCCTGTGAAGGAAAGGGCTTTGTCTGCCATCAAGTCCTCTGTGCCTGAAGCTGTTAGGATCATTAGGCGGCCACGGCTGCTTCAGCATCCGCCATAATTCCCGAAGTGTCTTTCCAGGCTACCTACCCAGCTGCTGTTCTTCTTGTTGGCCTCCTCCTCTCCTTACCAAGCCCCATGAAAGGCCAAGGTCTGGACACTTCTCAGGCATCCCTTTTCTCTAGGTCCCCACCAGCCACCCTACCATATGTCTTCATTTCATTTCTTTTCTTTTCTTTTCTTTTTTTTTTTTAGGCAATTGGGGTTAAGTGTCTTGCCCAGGGTCACACAGCTAGTTAGTGACAAGTGTTTGGTCTAAGGCCGGATTTTAACTCAGGTCCTCCCGCCTTCAGGGCTGGTGCTCTATCTACTGCACCACCTAGCTGCCCCCATTTCTTTTCTCATAGGCTCCTGTGATAGGTGCCTCCCTCTAGGGTCTCCCCTCTCCCAATTCATCCTTTACTCAGCTGTCAAAATAAGAGCCAGTATGCTCTGCTCTGACCAAGAATCTCCTCTCCTCATGGACCGACAGGGGTTCCCTGCTGCCCATCAAAGTATAAGCTCCAGTCTGCCCAGTAGTTGGGCTCCAATTCACCTTTCTGGCCTTATGCGATGCCCTGAATTGAGTGCTGACCTTGGAAGGAGAAAAGCCCAGGGTGCAAATCATACACTTCTGAGCTGTGTGAACCCAGGTGAGCAAGCCCCATCCCCTCTCTGAGGCTTCCTCCCTCCCTTCCTCCTTTCCTTCCATAAACATTTCTTGAGCACCCACTTTGAGCTAGGCCTTGCACTCTAGATACAAAGTTAGAGAGGACCCTAAGCCAGGTTTTCCAGGGCGTCACAGAGTAAAGGGCAGACCCAAATGGACACAGACCCAGGTAATGTGAGGTGGAATGTAATGGGCCCAAGAAGAGCTCCACACTCATGCAGGTTGCAGTAGGCAGGGCCAGGAAGGTGGCAGGGATGAGGTGACACCTCAGCTGAGCCTGGACGGCCAAGGAAGAGTTGGGCAGGCAGAGGGGAACGGGGAGCACAACATGGCCAAAGGGGACAGCCTAGGGGACTTCATGGAAGGGAGAGAGTACAAAGCCTGATTTGGGAACAAATTATAGGCCAATTCAGCTAGAATGCTGAAAATGAATACTTCATGGGAAATAAGGAAATATGGAAGGTGGAAGCTACACTGGGGAGCAGGGCTTTGGAGCCATGTCTTCCAAGTTGAGGAATTTGGAGTCCAAAAAGGAAATAGGAAATACACATTAGGCAATAGAGGCAATAGGGAAGCAATGAAGCTTTTTGAGCAAGGGGATGGCATGATCAGACTTGTTATTTAGGAAGATTGTTTTGTCAGCTATGTGGAAAATGGATTGAAGAGGGGAGAGATTGCAGGCCGGGAGATCACCCAACAGGTTCTTGTAATAGCCCAGGTAGAAGGTGATTGGGCCAGAAAGAGGTAATGGCTGGGTGAGTGAACAGAAAGAAATAGAGGTGACAGATTCTGTGGAGGGAGAAGCAACAAAATGTAGCAACTGATTTGATATGGGGGGAGAAAGGAATAGGGAGGTGTCAATGAGGCACCAAGGTTTTTAGCCTGGGTGACTGCAAGGATGGTAGTGTGCCAAAATAGGGAAGTGGGAAGGAGGGGTGAATTTGGCAGGAAACCTCTGCTCTTGCACTGTGAGTACCAAAGAAGGGATGGCAGTCTCTGTTCTGTTACCTACATAGCACCTGCTCTTATGGATGCCATTTGGTTCTCAGGGACTAAAGTGCCAACACTTCCTCCTTCCATGTCCAAGCAAGCGTGGTTACCTGTTATCCCAGAAAGGTCTACATTATGAGGAACATCCTAAGAGTCCTGGAAGCTACACGTGGGTGCAGCTCCGACCACAGCTCCAACTAGCTCTCAAGAGCTGATTGTTAAATTTTCAGTTAAATTTACTCCTCAGAAATGGGCAAATGCTACAAATCAGGACTTGCTTTATTGTCTTGTCGATGTCTAGGCTTAAGAAAGTGATGGATAAAATGTTAACAATGCAGATGAAACTTCAAAGTGTGTCATTAAGTACATTTCCCCTCCAGAGAGCTGGTGGTTAAACAATTAACCAGCATGCCCCTGAGTCTAGTACCAACTTACCTGCTGGGATTGAGTTTTCTCGTCTCGCAGTGGGCCAGAACCAGATAGTCAGGCAAGGAGAGAGCTTCGAGGTCAGTTCTGGCTTCCTTAGCAGGGAAGGCAGCTGTGGTAGAGTCATCAGCATTAAAAGAGGAGTTGGCTACATGAGACACACGGAAGGAGCTGGCTGGGGAAGGCTGAGGAGATGAGGTGATATGGGAAAGGCTCTCTGCAGAATCTGTTGGGAGACACAAACACCTGGCTGGATATTTCAGATCATTCCCAAGACAGACACCTACCATTTCTGAACCAGCGTCAGCAAAGTCAAAATTCCCATTAAATAGTGAATGCTGAGAAGGAAAAGTGTTTCTCCAACCAGTCAACAGTGTCTGGAGGAAGAAACCAGAGCTGTGTTCCAAAAAGGGAAATGCCTGATGGATTTCAGGCAGCCTCAGAGTCAGTCTTGACTGCTCCCTCTCCTCCTTCCCCCATCCAATCTGTTGTTGTCTTGTCACATCCACCTCTACCAGGTCCCTCCTATCTGTCCCCACCTCTCCTCTCCCCTGACCACCACACTAGGTCAGGCCCTTTTCACCTCCTGCCTATGCTCCTGCAAGAGCCTGCACATTGCTCTAATGGCCTCAAGCCTCTCCCTTTTCCACTCAGCTGCCCAGGTGATATTCCTAAAGCACAGATCTGAACCATGTCACTGACTTCAAACCCCACAACCGAATGACTGGCCTCCAGCTGCAAAGTAGGACTTCTAATAGGAGATTCCAGTGTATTTACAGAAGGCTAGAAAACAATTCTCCAAATCTTCCTGGCAGTCAAGTCCTGGTACAAATTTGGGCCATAAACAAATGGGAAGCTTCAGACATGTTCCCCAGTTCAGAAATCCCCTGTGAAAAGCCTATCTCCCCTTCCTCTTTAGAGATGAGTTGGCAGGAGCTAGGGGATTCCTGAGGTTAGTTTGCATCATAGGTCTAGCTAAGGAAACCCCAAACATCAAGATTTCACTGTAGCTAACAGAGCAATTGTCCAAACCTACCACCCCAGGTCCAAAACTTGTCTTCTAGCAACCCTCCTAGAAGTTCCTGGCATGCTTCCCCTCCCCTCCTTTTCCCTCTCTTCTTTTCCCCTCCCCTTCCCTTCACCTGACAGGGTAATTGGCACATAATATGTGCTTAATAAATTCTTATTAAGCTCAGCAGTTGGATTCCACCAAGTGACAAAGTCTTTCATAATAATAACTTTGCAGACAAGATGTGGCTAGATGATAGGAAATTCAGATGGATTTGGAATTGGTTGAAAGACTGGACCCCAAAAGGATGATTAAATGGTTGATGCCAGCCTACATAGGGTCTCTAGTGGAGTGCGTCAAAAGTTTGGTTTAGCAATCCACACAGGAAAAATCAAGTGGATGAAAAATGCATATGGCCAAGATTATGAAACATGGCTGAACTGGCAGCCCATCAAGCTAGCCTACTAGTTCATGTATCTTGAACAGACCCTATAGATGGAAGATGAGTTGAGTAGAGGGATAGGAGCTTAGCTAAATGAAATTTGGGAAATGATGTGCTTTCATTGATCCATAGATCACCCTTACCATCAAAATACAACACTTTAACATCAATATTCTCCTGACGGAGATTCAGAAGAATCCAAAATACAGGTCATCCAAAGAGGAACAGAAAGATTCATGGTTCAGGTGAACACATTTTTTGAATGCTATAGTGATTTGGCCAGACCTATGCTTTCAAAAAATGCTTTGAAACTAATGAATTGGAACAGGGAGAAACTTGAAGAAGGAAAACCAATTAGGAAGATAGGGCTATAATCCAGGTGAAAGGTGACAAAGACTTCCACCAGGATGTTTTCTGGGTGAGTGGAGATAAGGGGGTGGATGTGAGAGATATTGTAGAGGGAGAATTAATAAGAATAAGTGCTGATTGGATGTGAAGGTTGAGGGAGACAGAGGAGTCCAGGATGACTAAGGACCTGGGTGACTGGAAAGAGAGTCCTGCCTTCAACAGAAGTAGAGAAATTTGGAGGAGGGGGGAGTTGGAGAGAAATATACTGAGTTCCATTTTGGACATGTCAATTCTGAGTTGACAATCAGATTGGAAGTCAGGACTGGATGGTAGTTTGGGAGTCAGTCAACAAGCATTTATAAAGTGCCTTCTATGGGCCTTAGCACATGTGGCTAAGCACTGGAGCGACTTGCAAAACAATGGTGGGTAGAAGTAGGCAGCAGCATATTACCAATGGTGATTTGGGCCAAGTAGCACACACATCAGATGAAGGACATGTGCACGCCTGTAAAAGGGAATGAACCAGGCATGTAACAAGAGTGCAGGGTAATGGGTGCCCAGTCTAAGGGCTGATGCAGTGCCCCAAATGGGAAAAGACTCAAGGAAAGCAAGCATCCATTCTGGCAGGAATCTAGACAGTCTCTGGGGCCAAGTTTCATAACCTTGGGTTGGGCATGGACACCTCTGGTCATCTGGTGAAGCCTGTGGATCCCTTTCAGAATCATATTTTTAAATGTAGAAAATAAAATGCATAAGATAATAAAGGAAATGAGTTATACAGAAATTGTTATCAAAGGATTTTTTAAAACACCAAACAAGTTCCCAGATCCCCTGAAAGCTAAGGATCCCTGCTAGGGAGGACCCATGGACAGACATGGATGAGAAGACCAGAGGATAAGGAGGGGAGGAGGAGAGATGTACACTAGGTGGAGGGAATCCCCTGAGAATACTCCTGAGATCACAGAGTCAGCCAGGTGGAAATGTACTACTACACTGGAGTGCTCACTTCTGACCATTGGCAAAGGCTGTTTAAACACTCCTGAAAGATCTTCATTTCCGCCCTCCCACCTGCCTCCTGCAGCACCTCCATCCCTCCCTCCCCACTCCCCTACCCTGGCCAGGGGCTTCTCTGCCCTCCTACATTTTCAGCCCCCCAGCAGGAGGCTTTAGGGCACACCCATGTGGTCACACCCACTTACTTTCTCTACCTTAGTGTCTACCCTACTCTTCATCTCCAAACCCTCATCTCCAGCATAGCATGTCTAAGGCATCTTCTTCCCAGTGCATGCCCTCGATGACAATGCACAGATGACTTAGAAAACCATCTTCTAAAGATGAGGTAACATGCCATAGGAAGAGGCCCCCCCCCACCCTGTTCCTCCTAGACCATGATGCCAGGTCCTGAATATGTGCCCACCTGCGCTGTTGGTCCCATGTCCAAAGTTACAGATCTGGCTGATATTGTGCACCCAGATATGCATTTCCTCTTCTGTCTTGGCCACCAGGTAGAAAGTTCGGTAGATGGTCTTGACAACAAACACATAGTCATTCTGAAATTCCCTCCGAATGAAGTCTGGCCCTGCATACTTGCGCACCTCACCCTCACTCAGGTCAATCACTCGAATAGGCTTCTTTGAATGGTCACTCCGATAGTACTCCAGAACATCAGGATTCCCACTCATCCGACCATGCCGCAACACAAACCAGCGCTTCCGCCAGGCCTGGGGAAAGACCATTCAACACAAGTTAGATTGTGAGCATTGAATTCAATTCTTCTATGTGATGCTTACATGGGGAGCCACCAATAGCCTAACATGAGGGGCTATCTCATTGGATGAGAATCACACTGGCCTTGGAGCTCCCTCCAGAAGGCTCATGTAGGTAAATCTCCTGAATGGATTTTGGGGTACCCTTGATATATTCTTATCTAGCTCCCTGAGGGGAAGATCTAGAACTGGTACTGACCTAAAGAGATGCTTCTCTGTGGGTTCTCTGAGAGAACAAGAAAGACTTAGAAAGTTGGGCAGGGAAGGCTAAAGACCTCTGCCCCAAAGGTGAAGTCTGCTGGGCTGCTGCCTATGGGTCAGTGAGTCCAAAAGAGTTACAGGGCCAGCTCACATTCTTGTATACTTTAAGGTTTTGCCAAGAGACCACTTTAGCTGTCATGAAGGCGTCATTAAGTTTTCAGTTTCAAAGTGCTATTTTAAGATATTTTATTCTAAAAGTGACATAGTCACTGAAAAATCCTGGCTATTAGGCAGTTGGTGATCAAGGTGGATAAAGAAAACTTGTGTATGATTTCTCAAAGGATGGGACACTGGTTTTCTCTTCATGGTGATTGTTTTTCCTTGTGCTAACAGGGAAAAAATGAGATAGATGGACAGAATAGATCAGGCCTACACAACATATGGCCACCAAAGGATTTTGGGCAGCCTGCAAAAAATGTAGAGGATGTAAAAGAAAGTAAAGATGCAACAACTGCTTTGTCCATGCCCTGTTTAACCTGCTTTCCACTAGTCACTATTGTGCCCATCATGCAACCTGGCAGGTAGGTTGCCACTGCACACTCTCTCCTGTTTGTCACGTGACCCTTTGCAACCAACCATTGTCAGTCTGTCTCTAGTCAGAGAGGAGCAATTTCATGATAAATAAAAATCTTGAGTAATAAGTATAATTAATTGATAGTAATTGAAATTTGTCTTTTTTAATATGGTTTATTTGCAAAATAGTTTAATCATTAATTATACCTTTACTTGGAAAGTGAGATGCTAAAAACCTATGAGCGGCCCAAAGAAGTTTAGCCTATTTTAATTTTGGCCCCTATCTACTGCCAAGTTGTGTAGGTCTGGAATAGATAGATAGATAGACAGATAGATAACAAAAGTCCCAAGAAACTTCTGCTTAAGATAATCAAAGGACATTTATTAGGGAAACTCTTACTGGCAGATGGGAACAAAATAAGAGAGATATATTATCTTTGTACCCCAGAGGCTGGATTCCAAGATAAGGTAAGTTAGAAGGAGCTTGATTAAGTCTGGAAATAAGACCAAGCTTTAATTAAGATTAAATTGATACCAGTTAAGGATTATTAATGAAAAAGGTAACAAATTGTACCTATATGTTTAAGTCTTGAACTCTGTATGACTAGTGTTCTTAAATTTTTAACAAGTTATTTTCAGGGGCAGCTAGGTGGCGCAGTGGATAGAGCACAGGCCTTGGAGTCAGGAGGACCTGAGTTTAAATCTGGCCTCAGACACATAACACTTACTATCTGTGTGACCCTGGGCAAGTCACTTAACCCCGATTGCCTCACCCAAAAAACAAACACACAAAAAAGTTATTTTTAGCCATTCTAATTTTATAATTTTATTTTAAATGGTCTAGAAAGGCATAGTTTTCCTCTTCATCTTAAGAGGCTATACTTCTAGGAAGGCAGAGCCAAGATGGTGGATTAGAGGCAGCAACTCAACTAACATTCCCCACCAAATAACTTTAAAATAACACCTCAAATCAAATTTTAGAGTCAACAAAAGGTCAGTGTGAGACATTTTTTCTGGCCTAAGAAAACAGGTGGTCAGCAGGAGAAGTTTATGACACTGGGGTAGAAGCCCGTCCAGATTCCACACATGCTATGGTGGCAACAGTGGCTGTAGCAGTAGCAGCAGCTTCCACAGTTCTCAGTCCAGAAATGGAAAGGGGGTTTGACAACTGGTCAGAAAGTGATTACAGGGTACCCTTTGCTGGCACTGGGTACAGATGGTGCTGAGTGGCAACTCTATTGCCCATATGCAGTTCTGGGTCACAGTTCCAGGGTAAAGAGGAGTGCTGGTAGTTGGTCACAAAAGAGTAGGGGCCCTGGTCACAGTACCAAAGCAGAGAGGAACCAGGCACCTTCCTTGGTAATGACCAGAATGCAAACCAAGAGAGCAATGACCACTCAGGATCACATCACTTTGGAAGCATCAAAAACTTGCAGACATCCAGATTTAACTCTGAAAACAGCAGCACAAAAAACCTGAAGCTTAGGATAGTGTTTACCCACCCCAAGGTAAGCAGAGCCCAACTTTAACATAAAGGTCAAAGTCAAGAAATAGACTGGAAAAATGAGCAGACAACAAAATGAACTTGACCATAAATAGCTACTACAGTAGCAGGGAAGATCAAGACATAAACTCAGAAGAAGACAACAATATGAAAACAGCTACATAAAAAGCCTCAAAGAAAAATGTCAATTGGACCCAAGTCCAACAAGAAGTCCTGAAAGAGTTAAAGAAAGAGAGAAGAGTGGGAGAGGAAAAATTGGGAAAAGAAATGAGGGTGATGCAAGAAAAATATGAAAGGAGAATTAACAGCTTTGTAAAAGAGGCACAAAAATACTGAAAATATGCTTGAATACTGAAAAAAATACTTAAAAAACAGAATTGGCGTAATGGTAAAAGAGGCACAAAAACTCATTGAAGAAAACAACTCCTTAAAAACCAGAATTGGCCAAATGAGGTACATTGGCAAAATTGTATAATTGGCAAAAGAGGTACAAAAGCTCGTTGAAGAAAATAATTCCTTAAAAATTAGATTTGGGCAAGTGGAAGCTAATGACTACATGAGACATCAAGAAACAATCAAAGTCAAAAGAATGAAAATATAGAAGAAAATGTGAAATATCCCATTAGAAAAACAACTGACCAGGAAAATAGATTGAGGACATATAATTAAGAATTAAGACTACCTGAAAGTCATGATCAAAGAAAGAACCTAGATATCATATTTCATGAAATGATCAAGGAAAACTGCCCCAATATCTTAGATCCAGAGGGTAAAATATAAATTGAAAGAATCCACCAATCACCTCCTGAAAGAGATCCCAAAATGAAAACTTCCAGGGATATTATAACCAAATTCCAGAGCTCCCAGGTCAAAGAGAAAATACTTTAAGCAGCCAGAAAGAAACAATTCAAATGTTGTGGAGACGCAGGATAACACAAGATTTAGCAACTTCTACATTAAAGGATCAGAGGGCATGGAATATGATATTCCAGAGGGCAAATAATTACAACCAAGAGTCACCTACCCAACAAAACTGAGTATAATCCTTCAGAGGAAAAAAATGGATATTTAATGAAATAGAGGATTTTTAAGAAGCTAAACTTTTCACTGTGGTCTATATAAATTTAAATCATCTTTATCCCATCTCTCACTCCCTCCTATGAGCCAAATCCCTAGAACTTGGCTAGCTACATCTTGCCCTCAGGGTTCTAGGGTTCCTCTTGGGTCAGCAGCTCAAGACCCCACTGGTGTGCTTCCTCCCAAGATGATCAGTGGAGAAATAATTTAGTTGACCTCAAATAGCTTTTAGAAAAGAGACTATTACTGTACTAAGATGGCATAGCAATAACATATGGCACAGAACATCCTCCCAAGAGTCTATGACACACTCTCCCACAAGTACATATGGAGTCCAGGGGAAGGTAGGCTCAATTTTAGAAAGCACTACTTTGGGTTGCTGGAAGTCTTTTTTTTCTATTCATGGGGTACTCAAGAAGATATATTTAAGCATGGCGAATCTGCATCCACCAGTCCTTGGTTCTTGATATAGATGCTGCCATCAGATGATCTGGGAATATGGCTAAAACACCAATGGTAAAATAGGAGGAGTAAAATCCTCCAGGCCCTTCAAAGCTTGCAAGCTTCTCCACTGGCCAAAGTACGTGTGTGTGGGGGGGGGGGGGCGGGAGGGGGCGGGAAGGGTGGAAGATGTATGTGATGAAGAGAGGAGATCAGACCAAGGCTTCCCTTAAATGGTTCCTCTTCAGAGGTATTCTGGAAAGCCACATTTGCCCCAACTGCTTGAACTAATTCCTTCTCAATTCATTTGATAATTTATAATTTACAGATGACTCCCAAATATGTGACCAAGTTTCTTCAGCCTATTGGAACAGTCCTTTCATCAGGTGCCATTTAATTTCATCCAATGGCTTTCAAAACCTTTTCACACTTAGTCTTTTTGAGATGTGTTCTCACCTAGCTAATCTATGAAGATTAAAGGGGGGAGGGGGTCGGCTACCACCCTTATACAACTAAAGTCATACAATCAAGGTACTCACAGTTGCCCACCCCAAAGGTGCCCTAATTGTGGGCTGAGGGTTTTTGAGGGATGAATGATCTTTTTGAAAGTAGGATCTACAATGGACGAGATTCCAACTTCTCAACCTGTGCCTGGCTAAAGGAGCTTTGGCCTAGAAGGGGAGTCTTGAGGCCATTTGGCCTTTTCTCCTTAAAAAGCACCCTTAAAGCAAACTGCTTGGCTTCCCATTCTCTACACTGACACTGAGACCAAGAAGGTGATTACTAATCCCTTTAAATTCTGTCTTTAAAATCTTTAGTGCTTCTTTAGCACTAACAGTGGTTGCAACATTAGCTGTCATGGTTCTGGATGCAATGCCTACATCTTGTCTCTGTCACTCCCTCTGGGCCATTCACATGGCTGGCACTGAATATTCATTAGCATTTGGGGGCGTCTGGCAAACTCTATTTCTTCTCCTTCAACTGGCAGGTACAGTTGGAACTTTAGCACCAGGAGGCTCAGATAGAGGCCTAGAGAATCACCTGATGCCAGTGCTCATTCTTGACCCCAGTCACTTGGGCATCTCAAAGCCCACTTCAGAAGTTTTCCTTTGGCTACCCACAGAGCAGTGGGAGCCTGAAAGGGTATCTTTTCTCCTGA